CTAACTAACTAACTAACTACTACTAACTAACTAACTAACTAACTACTAACTAACTAACTACTAAACTAACTAACTAACTACTAACTACTAACTAACTAACTAACTAACTAACTAACTAACTAACTAACTAACTAACTAACTAACTAACTAACTAACTACTAACTAACTAACTAACTAACAACTAACTAACTAACTAACTAACTAACTAACTAACTAACTAACTAACTAACTAACTAACTAACTATCTACTACTAACTACTAACTAACTAACTAACTAACTAACTAACTAACTAACTACTAACTAACTAACTAACTAACTACTAACTAACTAACTAACTAACTAACTAACTAATTAATTAACTAACTAACTAACTAACTAACTAACTAACTAACTAACTAACTAATTAATTAACTAACTAACTAACTAACTAACTAACTAACTAACTACCTAACTAACTAACTAACTAACTACTAACTACTAACTAACTACTACTAACTACTAACTAACTAACTAACTAACTAACTAACTAACTAACTACTAACTAACTAACTAACTACTAACTAACTAACTAACTAACTAACTAACTAACTAACTAACTAACTACTAACTAACTAACTAACTAACTAACTAACTAACTAACTAACTACGAACTAACTAACTAACTAACTAACTAACTAACTAACTAACTAACTAACTAACTAACTACTAACTAACTAACTAACTAACTAACTAACTAACTAACTAACTAACTAACTAACTAACTAACTAACTGACTAACTAACTAACTAACTAACTAACTGCAACCAACTCCACATGCATTGTCTAGACTCTACACTATACGTAGTATAACACATTTTGTCCAAACTATAGACCATACTATACCGGCTAAGAGCCTACATTATAATCTTGTCTAATGTCTGCACTAGATTTTATGTCTCACTCTATAGTCCGGTTTATATTCTGCATTATATTCTATACTATAGGCTGGTCTGTAGTCTGGATTACAGCCTAATATTTAAAGTACAATCTGTGATATATTTTAGACTACAATCTAGTCTATTGCATTTTATAAAGTCTAGATTATATACATGTACTAATATAGACTATAGATATGTCATTCGGGAACCGTTTAAAGTTCACTATTATTAGTTTTTATTATTATTAGTTATTGTAAAAACAGATTACAAATCTTAATCATTGGCTCCAAAGGGGAACATTTTCGATATATAGATAATGTTTTGGATACTATGTATATTACTATGTTTGATTAATCTTAACAGATTTGGGTAATTCGACAGAATATAAAAGTTTCAAAATATAGACGTTTTTAGCGAAATTTTTAAAATGTATTTATTCTTTATATATGTGCCTTAGAATTAGTAATAAATATTTGTTGTTTATATATTATTTAGACTTATATGGAAAATACATATTTATTGCACAATTTCATATTTATTGAGAAACACACAATAGGTAATATTATTTATAACTTACCGCTATTGTTTAACTGTAAGATCTTTTGTGTTTATTGTGGTTTTTGTTAAATTTTGTTTTGTTTAAAATATTATTTTAGTTGCAATTAGTGCACCAGACACACACTTTAACCTGCTATGAAGTTTAGTTAATGACTGAATTTATAAGAAAAGGAAATTGTTTTAGATTTATGCACGAAGTAGTGTTTATTTTCCTCGGAGATAAAATTTTTACACTCAAGATGTTATTGTTGACGGTAGTTGCGATATTTTACTTGATTTTAAGAGATTTTTTTTAAGCTATAGGCACTATTATATGGTATAAGTAGACCTCTTTAGACTGAAGTGTAATATTTTAAGATACGAGTGAGTTAAATAAATTTCTTAATCTTATTTAAGATTTTTGTTTTATTTTATGAATAAAAAGATGTTTATTATGTTGTTATTTAACTCTAATTAGATTAGAGTGTAAATATTTACCAAAAAATTATCTTGCTTTAAAATTTTGCAATATTTTATAATTAGTGTTTTGGGGACGACGATTAAAACTATTATTCGTCTGGTTGGTGTCTCGTATGAAGGAGATTAGACAATAGACTAAACTATAGACTAGACAATAGGACTAAACTATAGACTAGGACTAGACTATAGACTAGACTATAGGACTAGGCTATAGACTAGACTATAGACTAGACTATAGACTAGACTATGGAATAGACTATAGACTAGACTATAGACTAGACTATAGACTAGACTATAGACTAGACTATAGAAGACTAGACTATAGACTAGACTATAGACTAGACTAGACTATAGACTAGACTATAGACTAGACTATAGACTAGACTATAGACTAGACTATAGACTAGACTATAGACTAGACTATAGACTAGACTATAGACTAGACTATAGACTAGACTATAGACTAGACTATAGACTAGGACTATAGACTAGACTATAGACTAGACTTAGACTAGACTATAGACTAGACTATAGTTAGACTAGATTATAGTTAGACTAGACTACAGATAGACTAGACTATAGATAGACTAGACTATAGATAGACTTGACTATAGATAGACTAGACTATAGATAGACTAGACTATAGATAGACTAGACTATAGATAGACTAGACTATAGATAGACTAGACTATAGACAGACTAGACTATAGATAGACTAGACTATAGATAGACTAGACTATAGATAGACTATACTATAGATAGACTAGATATAGATAGACTAGACTATAGATAGACTAGATTATAGATAGACTAGACTATAGATAGACTAGACTATAGATAGACTAGACTATAGATAGACTAGACTATAGATGGACTAGACTATAGATAGACTAGACTATAGATAGACTAGACTATAGATAGACTAGACTATAGATAGACTAGACTATAGATAGACTAGACTATAGATAGACTAGACTATAGATAGACTAGACTATAGATAGACTAGACTATAGATAGACTATACTATAGATAGACTAGACTATAGATAGACTAGACTATAGATAGACTAGACTATAGATAGACTAGATTATAGTTAGACTAGATTATAGTTAGACTAGACTACAGATAGACTAGACTATAGATAGACTAGATTATAGTTAGACTAGATTATAGTTAGACTAGACTACAGATAGACTAGACTATAGATAGACTTGACTATAGATAGACTAGACTATAGATAGACTAGACTATAGATAGACTAGACTATAGATAGACTAGACTATAGATTGACTAGACTATAGTTAGACTAGACTACAGATAGACTAGACTATAGATAGACTAGACTATAGATAGACTAGACTATAGATAGACTAGACTATAGACAGACTAGACTATAGATAGACTAGACTATAGATAGACTTGGCTATAGATAGACTAGACTATAGATAGACTAGAATATAAATAGACTTGAATATAGATAGACTAGACTATAGATAGACTAGACAATAGATAGAATAGACTATAGATAGACTAGATTAAAGATAGACTAGAGTATAGATAGACGGAACTATAGATAGACTAGACTATATATAGACTAGACTATAGATAGCCTAGACTATAGATAGACTAGACTATAGATAAACTAGACTATAGATAGACTAGACTATAGATAGACTAGACTAAAGATAGACTAGACTATAGATAGACTAGACTATAGATAGACTAGACTATAGATAGACTAGACTATAGATAGACTAGACTATAGATAGACTAGACTATAGATAGACTAGACTATAGATAGACTAGACTATAGATAGACTAGACTGTAGAAGACTAGACTATAGATAGACTAGACTATTGATAGACTAGACTATAGATAGACTACAGATAGACTAGACTATAGATAGACTAGACTATAGATAGACTAGACTATAGATAGACTAGACTATATATAGACTAGACTATAGATAGACTAGACTATATATAGACTAGACTATAGATAGACTAGACTATAGATAGACTAGACTATAGATAGACTAGACTATAGATAGACTAGACTTATAATAGACTAGACTATAGATGGACTAGAATATAGATAGACTAGACTATAGATAGACTAGACTATAGATAGACTAGACTATAGATAAACTAGACTCTAGATAGACTAGACTATAGATAGACTAGACTATAGATAGACTAGACTATAGATAGACTAGGCTATAGATAGACTAGACTATAGATAGACTAGACTATAGATAGACTAGACTATAGATAGACTAGACTGTAGAAAGACTAGACTATAGATAGACTAGACTATTGATAGACTAGACTATAGATAGACTACAGATAGACTAGACTATAGATAGACTAGACTATAGATAGACTAGACTATAGATAGACTAGACTATATATAGACTAGACTATAGATAGACTAGACTATATATAGACTAGACTATAGATAGACTAGACTATAGATAGACTAGACTATAGATAGACTAGACTATAGATAGACTAGACTTATAATAGACTAGACTATAGATGGACTAGAATATAGATAGACTAGACTATAGATAGACTAGACTATAGATAGACTAGACTATAGATAAACTAGACTCTAGATAGACTAGACTATAGATAGACTAGACTATAGATAGACTAGACTATAGATAGACTAGGCTATAGATGGACTAGACTATAGATAGACTAGAATATAGATGGACTAGAATATGGATAGACTAGACTATAGATAGACTAGGCTATATATATATATATAGGGTAGACTATAGACTAGATTATAGACTACACTATAGACTAGACTATAGACTAGACTATAGACTAGACTATAGACTATACTATAGACTAGACTATAGACTAGACTATAGACTAGACTATAGACTATATTATAAACTAGACTAGATTATGGATTGGACAATAGACCAGACTTTAATCTAGTCTATATAGTATAGATTAGCCTATAGACTAGACTACAGCCTAAGCTATGTATATAAAGACAAGGGTTGATCGAAATTTAAAAAAGTGAGAGCTGGAAATATAGTTAATCTTACCTCTTTTTTGTCGCAACAAAATTTAAGTTAAACCAAATATTCTGTAGGTAAAGTTACAGCCATAAAAGTAGATTTTGCAGATAGTGGGTAATCAATTGGAACCGGCTAAGCGAATAATTAACACTAGCACTAGGAACTGAATACACCTTCACACACAATTAAATAAATTAAGAATCTGTTAACCAAAAAATTTTGTCAACATTTTTCCTCTGAACAAATTTGTTATAATTTTTTATTATTGTTGCTATATTATATTTAATGACAACAATATACACGTTATTTAATTTGTTATTAAATATTTATTTAATTATTTATATTTCTAATAACAATAAAAAATATGTTGTTGGTGTGTTTTTTTATTTAATTCACTTAAACTTGTATGCTTAAACATGTCTGCACTTGTTTTTCTATATAAAACTTTTAATATAAACACTTTGTGTGTGTTTTGAAATAAATAAAATAATAATTTATGAAATTAAATAACAATTGAATATAATAATATTTTTAACATTCTCTTTAAACATTTTTTTTTTTCGATTTTTCATTTAAGTTTCATTTTATTATTTATTGCACATACACACTCTATTTTTTTGTTGGTTTTCTTTCATTTTTAAATGTATACAAACATTGTTGTTTGTGTTTTTTAGTTTTGTTGTTAAATCGCACGTTGTTGTTTCCTGCACGTTCACTATTGAAATGAATTGATCTCTGTTGTTGTTTGTTTTGATGCTGCTACTGCCTGCCTGTGGCTTGCATACAGACAGATGTTTTAGTTATTGTTGTTTTAATAGTGTTTTTTAGTGTTGCCATTTTGTTCGAAAGTTGGAATGAATAGCAATGACCGCTATGTAACCAAGTTTTGTGTGAACATTAGAACTTTTAGCGAAGATCAAAACTAGGATTCTCCATTAGATTTGTATAATCCTCATAAAAATAGATTGACGTGGATGACATGTTGTATATTTATTTTCGACGATCTATAGACGTCGGTCCGTCTCACAATGGAGGGAAATTTCGATTGAAGAAAAAATAATAAGTTTATAATAAAATTTCATATGCCTAAAGAGGCAGTGTTTCCAATGTGTAGTTTTCAATATAGAGCTTATAAACCTGTCTATATAGGGTCCATAGGTCACAAAAATAGAAAGTATTTCCCAGTTGAAGGTTTTAATATAGAGCATATAGGATATAACTATATCTCATAGTTTTCAAGCCAATTGTATTGATGAGAAGAAGAACAAATCAAAAGCCAATTTCGAATACCCCATTCTGAAGTGAAGCTAAACAATATGCATTTAGGATCGGACAAGGTCTGGCCTATATACCAGGAAAGGTAGAAATTCCAAATCACTCCTTTCGAACAATGATTGTAGGTAGATAGGATCCTCTAGGTCTTACAAAAACAAAGCATTATCTTAGCATTCTGAATATTTGACTTTGGAGTCCATTCGGCTGGTTCGTTAGTCCATAGTTTAGTCTAGTCTATTCCTATTCCTATTCTATAGTCTAGTCTAGTCTATAGTCTAGTCTAGTCTAGTCTAGTCTAGTCTAGTCTAGTCTAGTCTAGTCTAGTCTAGTCTAGTCTAGTCTATAGTCTAGTCTAGTCTAGTCTAGTCTAGTCTAGTCTAGTCTAGTCTAGTCTAGTCTAGTCTAGTCTAGTCTAGTCTAGTCTAGTCTAGTCTATAGTCTAGTCTAGTCTAGTCTAGTCTAGTCTATAGTCTAGTCTATAGTCTAGTCTATAGTCTAGTCTATAGTCTAGTCTATAGTCTAGTCTATAGTCTAGTCTATAGTCTAGTCTATAGTCTAGTCTATAGTCTAGTCTATAGTCTAGTCTATAGTCTAGTCTATAGTCTAGTCTATAGTCTAGTCTATAGTCTAGTCTATAGTCTAGTCTATAGTCTAGTCTATAGTCTAGTCTATAGTCTAGTCTATAGTCTAGTCTATAGTCTAGTCTATAGTCTAGTCTATAGTCTAGTCTATAGTCTAGTCTATAGTCTAGTCTATAGTCTAGTCTATAGTCTAGTCTATAGTCTAGTCTATAGTCTAGTCTATAGTCTAGTCTATAGTCTAGTCTATAGTCTAGTCTATAGTCTAGTCTATAGTCTAGTCTATAGTCTAGTCTATAGTCTAGTCTATAGTCTAGTCTATAGTCTAGTCTATAGTCTAGTCTATAGTCTAGTCTATAGTCTAGTCTATAGTCTAGTCTATAGTCTAGTCTATAGTCTAGTCTATAGTCTAGTCTATAGTCTAGTCTATAGTCTAGTCTATAGTCTAGTCTATAGTCTAGTCTATAGTCTAGTCTATAGTCTAGTCTATAGTCTAGTCTATAGTCTAGTCTATAGTCTAGTCTATAGTCTAGTCTATAGTCTAGTCTATAGTCTAGTCTATAGTCTAGTCTATAGTCTAGTCTATAGTCTAGTCTATAGTCTAGTCTATAGTCTAGTCTATAGTCTAGTCTATAGTCTAGTCTATAGTCTAGTCTATAGTCTAGTCTATAGTCTAGTCTATAGTCTAGTCTATAGTCTAGTCTATAGTCTAGTCTATAGTCTAGTCTATAGTCTAGTCTATAGTCTAGTCTATAGTCTAGTCTATAGTCTAGTCTATAGTCTAGTCTATAGTCTAGTCTATAGTCTAGTCTATAGTCTAGTCTATAGTCTAGTCTATAGTCTAGTCTATAGTCTAGTCTATAGTCTAGTCTATAGTCTAGTCTATAGTCTAGTCTATAGTCTAGTCTATATAGTCTTAGTCTATAGTCTAGTCTAGTCTAGTCTATAGTCTAGTCTATAGTCTAGTCTATAGTCTAGTCTATAGTCTAGTCTATAGTCTAGTCTATAGTCTAGTCTATAGTCTAGTCTATAGTCTAGTCTATAGTCTAGTCTATAGTCTAGTCTATAGTCTAGTCTATAGTCTAGTCTATAGTCTAGTCTATAGTCTAGTCTATAGTCTAGTCTATAGTCTAGTCTATAGTCTAGTCTATAGTCTAGTCTATAGTCTAGTCTATAGTCTAGTCTATAGTCTAGTCTATAGTCTAGTCTATAGTCTAGTCTATAGTCTAGTCTATAGTCTAGTCTATAGTCTAGTCTATAGTCTAGTCTATAGTCTAGTCTATAGTCTAGTCTATAGTCTAGTCTATAGTCTAGTCTATAGTCTAGTCTATAGTCTAGTCTATAGTCTAGTCTATAGTCTAGTCTATAGTCTAGTCTATAGTCTAGTCTTAGTCTAGTATAGTCTAGTCTATAGTCTAGTCTATAGTCTAGTCTATAGTCTAGTCTATAGTCTAGTCTATAGTCTAGTCTATAGTCTAGTCTATAGTCTAGTCTATAGTCTAGTCTATAGTCTAGTCTATAGTCTATCTATAGTCTAGTCTATAGTCTAGTCTAGTCTAGTCTATAGTCTAGTCTATAGTCTAGTCTATAGTCTAGTCTATAGTCTAGTCTATAGTCTAGTCTATAGTCTAGTCTATAGTCCTAGTCTATAGTCTAGTCTATAGTCTAGTCTATAGTCTAGTCTATAGTCTAGTCTATAGTCTAGTCTATTAGTCTAGTCTATAGTCCTAGTCTATAGTCTAGTCCAGTCTATAGTCTAGTCTATAGTCTAGTCTATAGTCTAATCTATAGTCTAGTCCTATAGTCTAAGTCTATAGTCTAGTCTATAGTCTAGTCTATATCTAGTCTATATCTAGTCTATAGTCTAGTCTATAGTCTAGTCTATAGTCTAGTCTATAGTCTAGTCTATAGTCCATAGTCTATAGTCTATAGTCTAGTCTATAGTCTAGTCTATAGTCTAGTCTATAGTCTAGTCTATAGTCTAGTCTATAGTCTAGTCTATAGTCTAGTCTATAGTCTAGTCTATAGTCCTAGTCTATAGTCTAGTCTATAGTCTAGTCTATAGTCTAGTCTATAGTCTAGTCTATAGTCTAGTCTATAGTCTAGTCCTATAGTCCTAGTCTATAGTCTAGTCTATAGTCCTAGTCTATAGTTCTAGTCTAGTCTATAGTCTAGTCTATAGTCTAGTCTATAGTCTAGTCTATAGTCTAGTCTATAGTCTAGTCTATAGTCTAGTCTATAGTCTAGTCTATAGTCTAGTCTATAGTCTAGTCTATAGTCTAGTCTATAGTCTAGTCTATAGTCTAGTCTATAGTCTAGTCTATAGTCTAGTCTATAGTCTAGTCTATAGTCTAATCTATAGTCTAGTCTATAGTCTAATCTATAGTCTAGTCTATAGTCTATTCTATAGTCTAGTCTATAGTCTATTCTATAGTCTAGTCTATAGTCTAGTCTATAGTCTAGTCTATAGTCTAGTCTATAGTCTAGTCTATAGTCTAGTCTATAGTCTAGTCTATAGCCTAGTCTATAGTCTAGTCTATAGTCTAGTCTATAGTCTAGTCTATAGTCTAGTCTATAGTCTAGTCTATAGTCTAGTCTATAGTCTAGTCTATAGTCTAGTCTATAGTCTAGTCTATAGTCTAGTCTATAGTCTAGTCTATCTAGTTATAGTCTAGTCTCGATCTCGATAGAACGGATCTATTTTTCATACACATTAATGATTCGATCAAATAATGAATTTATATGCTGTTAAAGATTGATATCTGTAGTCTCTGGTGGGAATAGTAACGATGAATTCCGGAATTCCTAGAGATTTTTAGGAGTTTATTGGGACGTATTAAGTTTTTTTTAATGTAACTATAACAATAATACTTACTGGCAACACTGTTGTTACTTAGCTTTATTTCTGTAATAACTGCTGCTGTTAGTGCTAACAGATTGATTGATCGCACATAAAATTTTATTAACATTATTGCACTTTTAACATACAGTTAAAAATTGGAAATTAGTTAACATTTTATATAGAGCTTTTATTTCGCTAGGCGCCAGAGATGGAACTTGTTATAGGTTATGAATATATATTTTGAAATTTGTTCTTTACACGAACGTTTACATATTCATAATTACTAGAACTACTCAAATAGCCAATGTAAATCGAGTGAAAAAAACTATACAGCTTTCTAAGCTTCGCGAAAACAACTAAATAATTAAATAAAAAATTTTGTTTTTGTTTAAAAATAATATATGATCAACTAAACTTTTGTTAAAAAGTAAGCTTTTGGGTTTTATGTTAAATGTTACTTATTAAACATTTCAAACTTTGATCTGTAACAGTTAAAGCTTTTATAATAACATTTAAAAAGCTTTCGTTCAAACAAATGCTTTCAATTGTAACGGTTATAATAGACGTAAAAAATTCAAATATTTATTAGTTAGTAATTTATTTATAAAT